TTGTTGTTTTTTTATGTATTTGTGTGTGTTTTTTATTATTATTATTCTTATTGATGGTGAAGTTTGTTTTTTCATTCAATCTTTGTTGCTATTTTTATTTTTGACACACCTGTTTGGATTTACGTGTGTCTGTGCCTGCTGGAGTGTGAGATGTGTCTCTGTGCCTTGCTTGTTTGTTTGTTTGTTTGTTTGTTTGTTTGTTTGTTTGTTTGCTTGCTTGCTTGCTTGTTTGACATTCAGGTTCACGGATCAGCAAAGAGTGGCAGAAATATCTACATGTGCACTATATCTGTGTTTCATTTCAGGTTGGGTGTGTGTTGATGCTGGGATGTCCAGGAGCTGACATTGTTTCATTTGCTTTTATCCTGTAGATCCCTGAGGTGCAAATGTTGATACAAATAAGCTGCTGCATAAATTTCACCCGTAAAACCACTGTCTGGGGTTTATGAACTTCTCTTGCCACATTTACTGGTAAAAAGTGAAAAGAAAAATGTGTGTCTTACTATTTATTTTAAAGAATAACCATTTTATTTCTATTTTTAAGTATTGAAATAGTATGGACACTTTTGCAATATGAGAGGAAGGCAAGCATGCAGAGATATTGTTATGCTTTATAATATGGCTGACTCCATTTAACTGAGTTCAAACCAAAATATTGTATTGCTCTCAAAAGCAAATTAAATAACCTTTACAATTAACTGTGTGGAGTTTATTAAATCCTACAAGGACCTTTACGTGCTTTGGGTAGATGAGATGGAGAACTCCAGTGTAGTGTAAGGTAATGGATGAAAAAGCCCATCATGTCCATTTTTATGTATGGACTTGAGGTGTAGCACAGAGGGGGAACTGTGATGCTGTGGGCCTTTTTCTCTTCCAAAGGCCCACTGAACATTGTCAGGTTGCAAAGCGCCATGGCACTATTAAATATATTGATTTAATTTATTTTTAATCAGGTGGATGTTGTCAGTAAACTGAAAGCAGCTCATCGTCAGATCACAAAAAAGATGAAAATTGTTGTGTGGGCAATGTAGTACCTGTAAAAATCCCAACTTTATTATACAGCCCTTTCCATCCTCTCACATTCATACTGTGATTTCATCCTGTACTGATTGCAAATAAAAAACTTGTAGCATTTCAGGTGAAGAAGAGGACACTCTACTGCACTATTTGGACAGTTTTGGTTATTTTTTTGTGCTTTGTCGCTCTCGCTATCATAACTGACTCCTTAAATTCCATCCAGACTAAGGCTAGCACCAATTTAAAGTGGTACGAGCGCCATCAGCCATGCAGATAAGTCCTGCTTCCTTTACCTTAATTAGAGCTCCCAGGGGAGTGGGTCTGAGCTTCGGAGGCTTCGGTCCCACATACCACAGAGAAGCCTTTCATTAAGGCCGGCAACACCAGGAGGAAAACTGACAACGGAACTGCAGCTCAGGGATTTCACAGAAGAAAATTTCGAAACTGTCATTATGTGGGAAATATTCCTGGGTGTTTTTGATCATGCAGGCAGTTACACACAGCAGGCAGAAATGTGCCATTTGATTGCAGGAGCAGAAACTGCAACTCCAGTGAGACAAGTAAAATTAGGGAAACTGGTTCAAAAACGGTCCAGCATTGCATACATAAATAGCATGTGGTGAGATTTTTTTTCTTCTTCTTCTTCTTGAGTTTGTTACAAGAACCACGAACTTTGACAGGACAAGTAATCTATCACTGACTGAAAGCTTATCTGGGGCAGTTTCTTAATCAAAAAGATAAAAAATTAACAAGATGTACCAATGTTTAACATTGTTTTTTTGTAACGTACAAATAAGTGTGAAGATTTTCTTTGTTTTTTTTATTTTCTGTCAAATAAAATAAAAATAATAATGCTTATTAAACCATAGAAATAGCTACGTTTTCTTTGAAATATTACTTTTGTTTTTTTTTTATTGTAAGTTTCATTTACCTTGGAAATCAGAGGTTTTGGACATGAAGTCTCATGCAGTTTAATTATGTTCCAGCTGAAAGCAGCCCCTTATTTCTTATGGATAGGTGTCACACCATGCTCCCTTGGTTTTGCTTCTCATTGGAGATGGTTTTGAATGGATTGAAATCATAGCTGCAGTAAGAAAGTTTACCATGTTGAGGCCTGCTAGACTAAATAGCATTTAGTCTAGACTAAATAGCATTTAGTCTAGCAGGATAAATATCCTGCTGGACTAATGGCAAAAGCCACATATTAAAAGCTTGTGTCTGCACTATTTTCAGCAAAAGGACTTAGTTCGCAAGTGTAGCTAAAACGTCCCCTTTTTGTTTTCTAGTTTTGCTGACTGGGGAACAGTCACAGCTTCGATCCAACAAGGAAGTGTTGCTTTAGAATGGCAATTACACACAAAAAAATAAAAATAAAATAAAATAAAAATAAAATAAAATAAAAACAGAAAACACATGAATTGGGCACATTGTAAAATTATCATTGATGGATGAGCATCTCCTGTGACTGGATGTGTGAAGTTTTTAAAGGAAGTAAATGAAGGAAAGACTCAACTGATTAGAATAAGAATAAAAACGTTGTCAGGTGTTCGGAGGGTTACTTGTGAAAATTTTCTTGAAACAAAGTGTATTTTTAGAAAAGTGTAGTGATCTGTGGGTTATTTTGATTTTGGAAGTGTTTTGTGTTTTATGGTTTGGGGATTTATGTTTCTTACCTGTGCTCTGTACTTTGTTTATTGGTTTACCTCAGAGGTGTCTAAAGTTCAGCCTTCAAGAGCAGTATTCATGCATCCCTTCTCCAACGTACCTGAATCAAATTACAACTTTTTCCAACCGCTTTGTTGCAGAATTTAAATTCTCATTACTGTGCGTTCAACCCCCTCAACGATTAGTCCTTTGTGCTCATAATAGTAGCAGTTTCTCTTTCTCTTCCAGCAAATTAATCTTTTGGACACGCATCGCTTGCTTTCATAAAATTCCCTGCAGTTTCCTAACATTGTCATTTACTTATGTTGTGTCAATCAAAATGAAATACAGCCAGTGCCGAATTATCATTATCATTCCATGTACACTTTTTCTCCATTGCTTTAACTGGGATCCACTAAGTTGCATTGCATATGTTGCTCTTTACCAGCATGGATCCAAAGCAAACAAGACTCAGTGGCGGGAATTCCTTTCACTGTAATTTTTTTTGTTTGTTTGTTTGTTTGCTTTGCTTTCTTTCTGATTTTAATTTTTGGTTTACATTTACGGTATTTTCTGTAATATTTACAACATCTCCGTTTTCATTCACAATTTAAAAAAAAAAAGTCATACAATCAATAAAATTTAAATGCTACTCGCAGGAACGCGACGTAATGTGATAGACGAGGGCTTTTCAAAGTGTGGGAAGTGTTCTCCCCCCGTGGGGGTTGCTGCAGCTCTGCAGGGCATCGAGTTAAAAAAAAAATAAACCAGAAAACGTAACTGCGAATATTTAGTCAGCTTCACCCAGCCTCAAGCCGGAGACAAAATCGACGGTGAGTAATCTCTCCCACACTTTGAAGACCCCTGGGCTACACTGACTGATAAGCAAGTGTTTCGTTGTCCATTATGTAATGATTGATTGGAAGAGTTCATACCGGTTGCCAGGTGTGCTGTTTGAAGCCAACATTTGCTTTTGTTTTAGATTTTTTTTGAAAAAATGTTTTGGCACTGTTAGTGCCTTTACCGAACAAAATGTGTCACTTTGACCACGCTTTAGGCCTCTGTTAACGGTCTTGGAAACGTGGACAGCTGCATCGAAGCAATCAAGAAAAAACTGCAAGTAAATCTCAGCTTTCACCAATGATTTTATTCACAGTTGTGCACATTTTTACCCGAAGGGTGTCTCTTTTTTTAATGTTTGTTGTTGATATGTTTTCAAATGACTGTGCAAAATTAGCACTGGCTCGGACTTTTTTGGCATTGAAAAACACTTTAAGAGTGAACTGTCATTACGAAAACATGACAGAGTAATTTGACTGTCTTGTTCATAAACAGTTGTCATCTTTTCATTCAGATGACAATCACGCATTCATTGAAATGAATGGGTGAAGAATTAACTTTTGATTTTGAGCACGTGCCACACTTTTGCGGGTTAAGCTAATTGTTACGAGAAATGCACTAGCTGTAGCAAATGTCTACAGTAGCATGAAAAATGCACCAAAGCGAGTAAGAAAAACTGTATTATAGTTCTAGCTAGCTAGCTAGCTAGCGTGAGATAGATAGATAGATAGATAGATAGATAGATAGATAGATGGCATGTAGACGTTAAATTTAATCAGGTATATTTCGCTAACGGTTTCCATGTAAGGGCCTCTCTAGTTGATTTTTTTTCTCCTTGAAACTTGAGAACTTTAAGTTATGTGTTGAAATGACGTGCTCCTTTCTCTGAACTTTACTGAAAAAGAGTTTTCTACATATTCAGTTGCATTTATTATGTAAATAATGAACATAATTAAGGAAATATTTGTTTACATTGAAAATAGCCCTATGTCTGTCAGGTTTGAGTTGACCCTTACAGTGGGAGTTTCTTTTCACCTGTTCAAAACTTTTGAACAGGTGAAAAGTTTATAAAGCACTGAATATACAAACTTGCTTGAAATCAATTCTAGCTAAAAATGTAAACAAATGCAGTTAACCATATGACAAACAGGTGTTTTTCCCCCCCCCTTAAAGATTCTTTATTGTTGTAAATAATCTTAATATAGTTTTTTTTTGGGCGGAGTGGTAGGAACAGGGAATTTTAAATGAATGTTAATGCAAAATAACGGAACTTTTAAGGTGACAAATTATTATGACATCAGATTATTGTATTTGAAAAATATATTCATACATCAAAGTTACTGTTAATTCATTGTTACTATAGCACAGGCATTACAAATCATCTTCAGAAAGTTTAAGAAGAGCAGCCAAACAGTTACGGTAATAACTTGAGTGTATTTGCTTCCCCTTCCTCTCCGTCCCCTTTAAACGGGGAGGTGCAGCGGCGCAGCCCGGGGCGCACTGAGGGAGTCCGGGCTGGCTGAGAACGGACACGTCGGAAACCTCCCCGGAGGGGCCCCATGTAATTCGATGCACGCTGTTAAAGCTTAGAGTATATTGTCTTCCCTTTTCGCTTATGAAGCCTCCACCCACCGGCCCACCCTACATTTAGCGGATCATGTGACTCGGGGTAAGTCATTTGCAAGTACAACAGTTCTCTGTGCGCTCCCATTCATTTCCTGAGAACTGCCCGAGCCGAGCAGCTGAGAGGCAGAAGGGAAGGGGAGGGAGCCGCTCTCACACACACTCACACATCTACACGCACACACACTAACACTCCGCACATTCACGCAGAGTGAGAGGAGAGAAGAGGAAAGGGAGAGGAGGAGACGAGACAGAGAGGACTGTGGAAAGGAAAACAGTCTCCTAGTCTCCACGGCTCTGCAGCTTTTGACAAGGTATGTGCGTTTTTCTCGTCCTCTGCTCACAGTGCCCGTCTCCGTCAGCGTGTGTGTTGTTTCATTCGTCACGTTGTTGTGCTTTGTGGTTGTGAGCTCAGCGCACCTCGCTCAGCTGTCATTGCTCTGTCAAAACGGATGACATCTCAGATCACCTATGGCATTGTGTTTGGTGTCCGTCAGTGTTGGGGTCGGGGGAAACAAGACACCCCCCCCCCCACACACCGCCCGAGTGATGGTCACTGGGCATGAAACCTCCATTGTCAGTGTGTGTTCGTAGGCTGTCATGAGCAGAGGAAACAGAAAAGTGATTGCACTCGAGAGTGAACAAGAGCAGCATCCGGACTTCAGCTGCGCCGGGGCTAGTTGTGGTTTAGCTCTCCTGCTTGTCTTGAGTCCGGATCAGCTCAGCGGTGCTCCACTGTAGTACAGTAACACTGGCTCAGTGTCTCGATGGGAGCGCAAAAAAAAAGTTTACTGCTGTTGTTTGCATCTCTTAAAGTTGTTTATGCCTGAGTGTGCAATTTCTCTGGGTGTGCGAGAGACCCGGCTTGTTTGCCTGAACTCCAACCAACCCAAAATGTTAGCAACGGGTTAAACATTAGACGGCTCGGGTAGCAGAGGAAGGACGCGTGTGTGTGTGTGTGCGTGTGTGTGTGCGTGTGCATGTATTAGTGTGTGTGGGGGAGTGTTGCAGGGGTGGTGTCTTGGATGTCATCGGCGGCGCTCTCACTTCCAGGGCAATAGTCATTGGTATTGATGGGTGGCTGTCACCACGGCAGAGAGCCACCGGGCAGGGGAGAGTGGCCGTGGGCTGGCCCTTAGCTGTTATTTTCAATTACAGGGGTCCAGGGCAGAGCTGACAGCAAAGGCATTTGTACATCCAGAGAGGGAGGAGGGAGAGGAGGAGGTGGAGGAGAGTGTGGGTTGTGTGTGTTTGTGTGAAGGGGGTGGGTGGGCAGAGGAGAGTGGGTGGGTAGGAGAGAGGAAGGTTGGAGGGGGCCGAGACTCTGGCCTCTGCTCCTGGGTTTGATGTGGAAACTAAGCTCTGACCTCTGTGACTTTACCCACGCGATGCGGAGAGGCCCCGACTTGTCTTTATCTGCGCGTCAGCTGTCGGGTGTTTGTGCTCCACTGTTCTTGCATTCATAGAAAGTCAATTTGTCAATGCACTGTGCATGTCTGTGTGTGTGTGTTTTCAGTGGAGGCTAAAATCTTCCATCTGCCGGTGTCGAATACCCATAAATGTTCCCGGTCGATTCAAGAGTCTGAGTAAATTTTCCCCGTACGCTTAGTGAGAGATATATATCTGTTCTATCTCCACAGCAGGGGAGCGTGTGTGTGTGTGTGTGCGGGAGTTGATCAGACCCCCCGTAGCTCTTGGATGTTCAGGGAGGGAGATTAGCGCCCATTTAAAGTCTCACTTGAACCCATTCACAAAGGGGCCGTCTTCTTGCGCATGAATAAACATGCTGATATCATCGCTAAGAAGTTAGAGAATTCATGCATTGCTCCAATATTTTGAACTGCTGATGGTCACATCAGCAAGAGTTTACTTCTGTTTGTTTGTTATGCCGTAGTGATAAAGATACATAGGAGAAATATTAAATTGTCAGCTGTCAACATCATTTATTACAAGTTGGTGCAACACTGACCAGTTTTTCTTGTCAAAGGATTATCATAGTAAAGAATTGTCCCACCCAGCAAAACGCTAAGCCACAAGATTCTCATGGTATAATAACATTGCTGTATTGGTTTAACAGTATGTTGGTACTAACCTCAAGAAATTGGTCTTTTTCGAGAAAATCTGTCAGCCAGCTGACCAGCAGTGCACAGTGGCACGTGGTAGATGAATGCTGTGTTACTCCACACCTCTTGTAAGCTCCCATATTTTTTTGTGTACTTTCCCTGATAATCTACAAAAAAAGGACTTCAAGCAGTAGGAAATGTTGGTGGTTGTGAAACTAACAATTTGATACCCGGAAACCAACTCATGCCTCGTCAACAAGGACCTCTGGTTTTGAGGTTTGACATGCCAATTTAAATTTTCTTTTTTATCAACTTTAATAACACACACATCCAATCTTAGCAAGTCTTCTCGACATAAACCTAGTTTTATTTGAGCGATAAAAAAAAAAAAAAACTCATAAAATTTAATAAATGCCCTGCAGAGTCCTTTTTGGATGTTTTAGTGTTGATTCCAACTCAACATGAAGTAGTTGCGACAAAGAATACGTCCCTCGTTAAACTCAAAAGTAGATATGGGAATTTAGTGTTTAATGATGGGTCTAAAGACCAAACGTACTGGTTTCCAGTTGTAACTGGGGGTTTCTACCAAGATCTCATGGCACGGGCACGATATGTCTCATCAAAGCAAAGTCCGTCCCGTAAAGCCCTGCTGTCAGCGTGTGACTTTGTCAGGTGGAACAAGTGCGAGCTAGTATTATGAGACCAATGTATGAAGGTGAGGGTGTTAAGCTTGACACCCTGCATCTAAGTTTTAGACTCTTATTTTGAAATAAGATAGGAGACAGTTTCCATGAGTTATGATAAAAAGCTTTTGCTCGCAAACCTTTCATCAGTCTTCATCCACCACATGGACAAGATTCCATCAGTTTTAAATAGTCTCTGGCCATGTTTTAAGTACCTATTCTTAAAAAAAATTAACATTTACACATCAACAGTCAAGATACAAGTGATAAGCACAAATGCTAAAAATAGCTACAGTTGAGTCTTTTGTTTTTGCCGAAAACACTTTTGCAGCAATTAGCGTTGCTGTCACTGTGACCTGGTAGTGCCTCTACGGTGCATTCACTGGTCACAAACAAATTCTGAACAGTGGGTCACTGATCCGGGCAGCTCAAGCTGAAAATCAGTCTCTGCATCTCTATGCATGACCACAGTAATAATTTAGCAGCGGACTAACAAATGCAGCAAAAGTTGGTGTCGGTCTCTGCGCTTCCAACAGGCAATAAACTATGCTTCATCTGATCAACTCTAGATAAAAATCTTTGGTTAAATTCTTCTAAAAACACAAAATCAAAGTTTGAGATTCATGAAGTCTTTTTTTTTTATGTTTTCAAAAACATGAAAAGGAATGGACTTCCTTTTTGGTATTATTATCGCATTGTTTTAACTGCTAGCGTTGAAGTATTGAGAAAAAAACAAAAACAACAATAAATCAACCACCCGTCATAGCCTGTCAAGTAAAAATTGGCCGATTGAACGGTGTTTCAGACAAATCAAGTCTCCAATAGAGTTCTTCTGTTTATTCAAAGGATTCTTTCATTCTGAGGCGACAAAGCTGGACAGCTTTCAAGGCTGAGAACATCACTGGCACATCTGCTGTGGTAAAGACGAAAACTGTTTAGCTTATAATAATTGTTTCTCAGAAGGCTGAGCCATTAACTCAGCTATCAATTAGCAGTATTTGCACAGGCATAAGTTTCATCTGACTCTAGTGTGACAGCTGCAAGCAACAAAAACAGCCCAGAACTGTTTCAGATAAGTTGTATGTATTCAATAATGAGTTTATTTGAAAAGAAAATAATGTTAGGAACTGCAATTCACTAAACAGAAACTGCCTTTAAAAAAACCTCTCTGTGAAGCTCTCATCTATTACTTTCATCACATTATTCTTTAAGGATATCGGTTTCCTGAGTCAAACGGTTTGCCACACCGTTACTTGTTCCTGTCATTTTCATATCAGTAGATTCAATTAAACGTGTTCACCAAATTTCAATTAAAAATCTATGTGTTGGTGTAGGATTTGAAGCTTTACAAGATCACAATGCTACTGTAGCTGTTTGCAGAGGGCATCTGCGCGCTGACATGAGAATTTATTTTTTTGGATCGACAGGGGTTTGCATAGATATGAACTGTTCACTAATAGTGGAATCCTTGATCAGCAAAACATTTGGAATAATTACAACCTAAACTGTTGATTTATAGGAAGAAGGTTAAACCAGATTCAAATTGGAATCATTCATACATAAACGGGGGTTTGTCTTAATTACAACCAAATTGACGTGAACATGTAAAATATGAGGTTGTGTTCACGAGTGTAATTACTTTCAGTTTGACTTCCTTGATAGCAGGTCTGAGCATCCTTTCTGCTGTGTCTACGCAGCAATTGGTCCAAAGTTAGCAGTAACATTAATACACTCAATTAACTTGATAACTTGCTGTAGATGATGGTGCTTGAAAGAAGCGCTAGTTAATGAATTGCGTAAGTGCTCCCAAGAGTCATATACACATTTTATATCAAGGAAATATATTTTGAATATAAAACCATGAACAATTTTGTTGTGTGCTAACGTGTCAGGATATTTATAGTGTCTTTTAGAAACCCTGCCAACAGTTTACACATGTTTCATCTTTAAGGCACATGGCAACGTTTCCAGACTTTATATTATTGCCTAAACCCATGTTGCAATAGTTTTCACCTTACGGATATATGTGAACAAATACACTTATTTCAGTCAACAGCATGATGGCTCGCACATGTTTATAGTTTTTTCCCACAGCCGCAACTAGCTAGCTGTCCAAGGACATATGATAGAGATCTGTACAGGTGTGTGTGTGTGTGTGTGTGTGTGTGTGTGTGTGTGTGTGTGTGTGTGTGTGCCAGTTGTAAAAGCCAATCTAACAGATAGTCTTTATCAGTCCATCAACTCTGCTCTGCCTTGGATGTTTAATTACTGGGCGAGATTCCTTCACTGAAGGCATCCTCTGTTTGTCGCAGTTCACAAAACGCAAGTTGAGCTCCTGCTGACTGAATCTTTCAAGGAAGATGCTGTGGTTTGTTCGTGCCAACAACATATAGGGGCCAATTCATATTCATGGGGATTGAATTCCCCGAATTACCCCCTAATCATCTGGGTTAACTACTGACATATTGAGTGACTGCTCATTGATCCAAGGGGGTCTTATGGGGCGTATCTGCATTGACTACAGATAGAGTGCAGTGTACTACAGTACACGGCTGGATTCATGTCTAA